CTACTGTAAAGAATCGCGGCCCTTTAAAACTGACATGAAAAAAGTGATTTTAAGAATATCTGTCTGTTTGAAAAATTAAGATAATTAAAAGGATAACTGTTAGTTTAAAAAAGAAGATAGTTACGAGAGTAAACATTTGTTTGAAAAGAATTTTCAAGATGTAAGAAAATTTCAAGTAAAGAAGACAATGAAGAATCCTGTATAAGTAGTGTGAAGGTAAAACTGGTCTAAGATGTTCTGTAGCAATACCACATGGTCAATATCTACAGAAAAAGGTGACACAGAGGTGATGGAAATGTAGACAACACGTAGAGGGGAAAAACCATAACATAAGCATTGTTAAAGAGGTTGTTAGGTAATAAAAAGTAGCCTGCTAGCGAGTTTAAGAATTTTGACAGGTTCCTGACAGATATCAAGTGAAATTGGCTCGTAAGTCTCGTGTTTATCGGGAACCTCAAGAAATGAAGCACAACAACGGATAACAGAATTAATATATATATAGATTATTATTGTACACCTTCCGTGAACCGACTCTTTCTTCTTGATGATATCAGTTGGAGATCAGAGAGATAAGCAGATACATTCTCAATAACACAGTACCATTTGAATCTCTAACTAGTGGGCACTGACTACTTTTTAGAGAAATTCGTAACCTGGAAAATACCACATTAATAATCTCTAGCCATGTATGTTCAGGAATTTCAAATACCAAATTAAAGTTTTATGTTTTATATTTCAGTTTTGCAACATTATTTTTATCAATTTCATTTAATAGGTGAACATTGATTTTATAATTTCATGTTTTAATTATTTCATATTTAAAAAGTAAAAATTTATGCAATACAAATTGGGGTGGGGGTTCCATGGGCCAAAATGGCACACTGTCACTGTACTAATCTCACCCGCCAGTCATGTGGCTCAAGCTTTTGATAACTGTGTGATCGTTTGTATCTGCCTAAGCTTAATATGTTGATGCTCTCTATTTCACCTGTGTCAGTAGTGGTTTTTGTAGCAAAGTCACTGGAACTAGAAAATGCTCATACCAGGACTTTTTCATATATCTTATTTTTATTACCACATTAATCCAGCTAGTTAGGGACATTAAATTATTTGGGGATGCTGGAATATACTTGTATGCATAATGTTAAATAATTTCGTACATTAATCCTTCAATACATACATGTCTTTAAAGGAATGTCTTCTCCTTTCTGCTGTTAATATTGTTGCGTCAGCGGTCACATGACTACAGTGACGCAACGTTTCTAGAATTATCATGTACTTTGGCGAATGCTCTAGTATTTAC